GATAATTAACTATGATAATTGTTATCAATAAATACAAAGGAGGAATTTAAATTAGTTATTGCATTTGTTTTAAATTCTTTTCAATTGGTTAACTATATGCTAATTCATTGATTTTTATAAAAGTTAATTATATATCCAGCTTAATTAGTGTCACTACATTAATTATATATCCAGCTTAATTAGTGTGAAATTTCCATAAATTGTAGGTATAAACACATTCCTTAATGAGTTTTGATCATTCTTTGATCCTTTGGAATAAGGAGAATCAACACAGCAGGTCTTTACCAAGTCGTTTCTCCAGATGCACCTATCTAGTATGTTTCTGTTCGCAGGTGCGTAATCAAGTCGTTTCTAATTCGAGCAAGTCTCGTCTCTGCTATATAAATCCTCATGTGATTTCAATTCATCATGCTTACCTCCTAGTCCTAGTGTTTTATGCCATTTTGTTATGCAGGTTCTCTACTTAGGACAATAACCTGGTGCAAATCATGGATGCATGGATTCTCCTCAGTCCTCACAAGGGTCACCTTTACTTTCTGTGTCTGTGGATCTTTCTGGTTTATTTATCTATTCCGAAAGTTTTCCTTCTTCTTCCCGACCTTTTTCTATCCTGTTATATGCTCAATATTTGTTGTCATTTTTTATGGCCCTGAATATGGAAGAAACTGAACATGAATTGATCAAATTCTTTCAGGTCCGTCAAACTTGACACATCTGAGCTTTAGAAGAAACGATGCAGTTCTTCGCGTGGAGTTAGTAGCTTCGGTTGCTGTAATTAACTTGATCAAGATGGAATTGGACAGAGTCAGAGTGTCATGAGACCCATAGAAGACTTGTTCATCTCCAAGGTATCTTTGCCTCAAATTGTACAAATTGAAAATATCAACTTTATTTTTTCCTAACGCAACAATTCGAGGAACCTTGTGCGTACATATGTTTAAGGTTCTGTTTTGAAAGTGTAATCACATTCTAATCCCATTGAATTTCATTAACTTGGCCTTGTAGTGTCTAAAACGACTACCATGTTTGTGGAGACTCTATTAAGTGGAAATTACTTCAGTTTCTTAATGCACATGCAAAACATTTCTGCAAGAGCATCAATTTGCGAATTGTGCTAAGATCGTTGCTTCTCAATTAAGAGGCACAGTGGATAGGATTTTGATTGGTAAGTAAATATTGCAAGATAATATTTTTGGAATTTGAAACCAAACTGGTCTTTCAAGCCTTCTTTATTAAATTAGATTCATGAAATAGTTTTGTCACTCTATTTCTATTCACGGTTTAAAAATCTGAGGTCCTTCGGATTGTGTGCAGAATCAACAGATGCTGTGATAAAGAACGCTATCACCACAACCTGCAGTAGCTATGAGAGCCCTCAACGTGGTCCACCCTTGCCATGAGCTATATGCTTTGAAGGTTGGAATCTCCCTTGCTTTGGATGCTTCACTCTTTGACAGCAGTTCAAATGATTAACACTGATGAGGAGTGCTTGCATCAAAAGGGGTTTTGGTGGATGAGATTCATCGCCTAATTGAGTTATGATGAGACCCCAAAACTACTGTTGAGTATGTTCCTAGTAAAGCTAATGGAGCTGCTCACTGGATTGCTCAGTTTTGTCTTCGTGAATCAGCCCATCATTTTGGATGGATGAGTGCCATCCTTGACTACTCATGGATTGCATTCAAGATGATTGTCCTTCTCTGCATTCCTTTCCTTGATTCTATTGTAATTTCTAGGCATATGTGATACTCTTTCCTATCCCGAAGTTTTGTCCCATGTGGTTTTCTTCGGGAAGGTTTTAACGAGACCACTTCGATACATGCTGACTCTATTGTTCTTGATTATTTGAATGAATTATCATTTGCCTTTAAAAAAAAAAGAATTTCAAGTCATTGAGCTTTTAGTTCTGGAAGGTGACACCAAAAGACATTACGAAGGTTCAGATTGGTGTTTATTTAGGGTTTGGACCCTTGTGCCCCAATGAAAATAACCCAGTACATAAAATTGGCAATGTATCATTTGATTGACACTGGAGGATCCCGTTTTCTCAATCGCATTCTTGGAGTATGTCAAACTTAACAAACCCTCATCCTGAGCCTCTACATTTAGACACCGTGCATTTACGACTCTTTAATTTTTAACTTTTGACACCTATCTATTTAATTAATCTAACCCTAACAATGTTAACTCTAATTTAAAATAAACAAATTAAACTGAACAATAAAGAAAAAATTATAAACCTAGCAGCCATCCCACCTACCCAACTCCGAGTGCCACCCTGACCCCTCTCCACTGTTCACCATTGACAACTCTCTCTCTTCCATGAATACAAAGACATCGCCAGTTAGCAAGAATACAAAGACATCAACCAAATGATTTGGATAGCAACTGGTCCTCTCACAGCCTATTAAGGCGCAAGGAGGTGCAACTGCACCTCTCTTCACCGGAAAAACCATTGTAGGTGCCTCAAATTGCCCATTTGCTCTGTACATACTTTCATTTATTTTTATATTACTCCATTTACTTAAGTTTACAATGTAAATAAAGAAGTACCCCCCATTTGGATTCAAATAAAAATACTAGAAAATTAAATTCCCACCAAATCAAAATATAAAAAATCGGTTTTAGTGCAAAATACGATTTAGGCTAAAAATGATGGCTCATTAAGTCAATATATACTTCATATTAAAATCCCATAAAATCAAGCTTTCTTATTTGATGTGTAAGGAATAAAAGCCGCGCCAAAAATTATCTTGAGAAAATAATTATTCCGAAAAACCATTTTTCATACTTAGTCAATATTTTTATATAAAACAATTTTTCATGTATGATATGAATGCATGAAGGGACCTAAGGTCAATCTAGGTAAAAAAAAAAACCTTAGATCTGGGGCTCCTTGCCTCCACTTCGGTTTCCTTTAGTTTTTTTTTTTTTTTTTTTTCTAGTTTTCCCTAAGTTAAGCCCACTATGTGAGACCCCAAACCTCCCATCTCTCCCTCTCATTTCTTCCCCAGCCACCTCCACTTTTCACCCTCCACTTCTTACATCTACACTCTCCTAATCTCTTCCTTGTTTTGTTGTCGTCCACCCATGGCCAGTGACTTCGTCCGGTCGCCAGTTCTCAACCATCACCGTTTGCTCCTCGGTTCCACGTCCGCTGCTCCCGTTGTTCTTCCTTGGTGGTGTGTAGTGGTTCGTGGCTACGATTAAAGTGCATACTGCACTTGACTCTTGGATTATGGGAGCGCTTCCGCGCGGGTGGCCTGCTCACCCCATCTTTCGTTAGCCTCTTTGATACCCCCTGGTATCGGTTACTCCTCCTTGGTGGTGGTGGATCTGCTCTGGCGGTGTTGTTGGCATGCTAAGTGGTGCGGCTGCTCCTGTGTTCTAGATCTAGGGTTTCTTTGTTTATTGTTTTATGGGCTTTGGTTGTTTATTTGGTTTTGTATCTTTGGGCTTGCTTTATTTGTTGGTGTTGGGCTGCATTTGAATTTAGCTTTCCTCATTTTGTAATGTTTCCCACTATTAATGAATAGAGTTTCCTTGACCAAAAAAAAAAAGCACAATAAGCAAAATATGGACGATTGTGCAAATGATGCTTCACTAAAATGACAGAGATGTTAGCCTACACCTCAGACCACCTGATTAAAGCTCTTATGCCCATGTGCTGTTAGTTGTATATTGTGAGATGGTGTGTTAGTTACGATTACTAGTTAGTTAGCAGTCTGTTAAGTTAATCAGTTGGTTAGTGTTACTTAAGCTGAATTGATCTACATGTATATATATAAGCTGGTACTGTTACTTTGTGAAATAATGAAAAACATTCCTTCAATATCAAATATCTCTCTCGAACTCTCTCTTCTACCTTCTTTGATTTCTAAGCTTGATTGACCTCTTTAATGAAGTCCTAGAGGAAAGCTTTCATGGTATCAGAGCATCCTCTCTGATTATCATTTATCGATTTTCTTTTCTCTTTCTCTTTTCTTCCGCTGCTCAGTTCTTCGATTCTTACTCTGCTTCGTTTCTCTATGCGATTTTCTAGCTTTCTTTTCAACTTTGCTGCTCTTTCGTCTCTGTTTGCTTCGATTTGGTTTCTTCGGTTCAATTTCGTCTTTGTATCTTGCAATTGATTCCTCTATACTGCT